TGTGGAGCAGATAACTTATAAAACTTGCCTCCTGGAGATCTGGTGAAGACACTTGGCTTGGATGGCTTTAAAGGAGAGATAGGGCGGAATACAAATAAAGTATTATTATTATTATTATTATTATTATTATTATTATTATTGTATTGTTGAAGGGCTTTCATGGCTGGAATCACTGGGTTGTTGTAGGTTTTTTTGGGCTATATGGCCATGTTCTAGAGGCATTCTCCTGACGTTTCGCCTGCATCTATGGCAAGCATCCTCAGAGGTAGTGAGGTCTGTTGGAACTGATATGCTTGCCATAGATGCAGGCGAAATGTCAGGAGAGAATGCCTCTAGACATGGCCATATAGCCCGAAAAAACCTACAACAACCCATTAATAATAATAATAATAATAATAATAATAATAATAATAATAAAATCAATAGGAGTATAGTGTCTAGATCCAGTGAAGTCATGCTACCCCTCTATTCAGCCTTGGTCAGAACACACCTTGAATATCGTGTCCAATTCTGGGCACCACAATTGAAGGGAGATGTTGACAAGCTGGAATGTGTCCAGAGGAGGGCGACTTAAATGATCAAGGGTCTGGAGAACAAGCCCTTTGAGGAGCGGCTTAAAGAGCTGGGCATGTTTAGCCTGCAGAAGAGGAGGCTGAGAGGAGACATGATGACCATGTATAAATATGTGAGGGAAAGTCATAGGAAGGAGGGGCAAGCTTGTTTTTTGCTGCCTTGGAGACTAGAACGCGGAACAATGGCTTAAAACTACAAGAGAGGAGATTCCATCTGAACATTAGGAAGAACTTCCTGACTGTGAGAGCCGTTCAGCAGTGGAACTCTCTGCCCCGGAGTGTGGTGGAGGCTCCTTCTTTGGAAGCATTTAAGCAGAGGCTGGATGGCCATCTGTCAGGGGTGATTTGAATGCAATATTCCTGCTTCTTGGCAGGGGGTTGGACTGGATGGCCCATGAGGTCTCTTCCAACTCTTTGATTCTATGATTCTTGAATTAATGGATGATAGGTTATCGTTGCTCACATGATAGTTACCCCAGGGTTCAAAAGCAGTGTATTTATTATTTATTTATTTAAACATTTATATTCTGCCCTTCTCACCCCGAAGGGGACTCAGGGCGGAGCACAGCATATATACGGCAAACATTCAATGCCGGAACACAAATTCTTATATATATATATACATAAACATTAAAAACATTTATCAAAATATTAACATACACCTAGTCATCCATGTCAGGTCTAACAGGCCAGGTAATCTTCCTATTGCTGCTTTATTGCCCTGTCCCGAAAGCTTGGTCCCACAGCCAAGTTTTTACTATCCTTCTAAAGGACAGGAGAGAGGGGGCCGACCTGATCTCACCAGGAAGGGAGTTCCATAGCCGGGGGAGCAATCACCGAGAAGGCCCTGTCTCTCATCCCCACCAATCGTGCCTGTGACAATGGCGGGACAGAAAGCAGGGCCTCCTAGGAGGATCTTAATCTCCATGATAGTTCATAGGGAGAGATGCGTTCGGACAGGTGGACTGGATGCCGTTTAGGGCTTTATAGGCCAAAGCCAGCACTTTGAATTGTGCCGGTAGCAAACTGGCAGCCAGTGGAGCTGGCGTAACATGGGAGTTGTATGCTCCCTGTATGCCCCAGTTATTAACCTGGCTGCCTCTCGTTGGACTATTTGAAGCTTCCGAGCAGTCTTCAAAGGCAACCCCATGTAGAGTGTGTTGCAGTAGTCTATCCTAGATGTAATGAGAGCATGGACCACCGTGGCCAAGTCTGACTTCCCAAGGTACGTGCACATAGCTGGCACACAAATTTTAGTTGTGTGAAAGCTCCCCTGGCCACCACTCCAACCTGGAATTCCAGGCTCAGTGATGAGTCCAGGAGGATCCCCAAGCTGTGAACCTGCGCCTTCAAGGGGAGTTTGATCCCGTCCAGCACAGGTTGCGACCCTATACCCTGTTCGGCCTTGCGACTGACCAGGAGGACCTCTGTCTTGTCTGGATTCAACTTCAATTTGCTCGCCCTCATCCAGACCGTCACAGCGGCCAGGCACCAGTTCAGGACTTGGACAGCCTCCTTAGCATCTGGTGGAAATGAGTGATAGAGTTGGACGTCATCTGCGTACAGATGGCATTGAACTCCAAAACTCTGGATCAGTTGCCAGAGAACAAGAATGGAAGAACACGACTGTCAACATAGGCAGCTTGTGGGCTTCTCATTGGACACATTAGCCACTGTGGGTCCTGGGAATAAACAGGTCTCTGGTCTGATCTGATAGAGCTTTTTCTTAAATGTGCATGTTCTTCTGGAAACTGTGCCATTAATTTTCCGACATTTACCTTGCTACAGGGAGAATTGTGGAAGATGCTTGTATTCTGGCCCAAGGCTTTTACAGCACAACTTGTTGTTATTCGTATACATCACTCATGAGTCTCCCCTTCAACGTCCCCGATTCATTGTGGTGAGATTACAGATCTGTCTGCAATGCACAGCCAGGAGTAATATATTTATTGCAGTGTATGTCAAAGGCAGAGGAAGTGTGATCTCCCTACAAAATTATTTTGTTGTTGAATGCCCTCAAGTCATTTCTGACTCATGGTGATCTGAAAAGTTTTCTTGGTAAGACTTGTTTTGTGAGGGATTGCATTTTCCTTTTTTCCTGAGACTTAAGAGTATGTGATGTGCAGAAAGTCAACTAGGAGATTCTTGCCTTGGGATGTATTTACACTAGAATCAATGCAGTTTAACACCACTTTAAAGGAACCCCCAGTGGCACAGTGGGTTAAACCACTGAACTGCTGAACTTGCTGACTAAAAGGTCAACGGTTTGATTCCAGGGTGCGGGGTGAGCTCCTGCTGTTAGCCCCAGCTTCTGCCAAACAAGCAGTTCAAAAACATGCAAATGTGAGTAGATCAATAGGTACCACTTTGGTGGGAAGCTAATGGCATTCCATGTAGTCATGTCAGCCACATGTCCTTGGAGGCATCTCTTCAGCTTAGAAATGGAGATGAGTATTACCCCTTCCCCCAGAGTTGGACATGACTAGAATTAATGTGGAAACCTTTACCTTGACTTAAGGTATAGAATCATGAGTGTTGCAGTTTGGTGGGCACGAGCACTTTTTGGCAGAGAAAGCTAAAACATTATACTGACCTTGGAGGTGTCTACGGACAATGCCAGCTCTTCGGCTTAGAAATAGAGATGATTCCATAGCAATGGCAGTTAAATTGGTGTCAGATTGCATGTACAGATGCACCTCTAGTCTCCAGAGTCATAGACCTATGCTCAAGCCATTATATCTTGTTGGCTCTTGAGTCCGATGGTGCAAGAGTCAAATGTAAGAACTCGGCTACTGTTTTTCATTGCACTAACTGACTAAATTAGAATGTAAATTTAATAGTCAGGATTCAAACTCTTAGTTTAACATTCAAACCACATTGGAAAAACATGAAAAAGGAAGCAGACACATTTATTGTGCAGAGATGGGAAGGACCAATTCACTAGGCGCTGATGGTTTATCAGCCTATAATAATAGAACATTCTTTATTAAACCAAAGGCAACACAGAGAAGATTTTTATTTTCTGTTTCAGTACTAAAATAAACGTGGTTATTTCAGTGGTGAATGTTCAATACAAATAGAAAATATTAGTAATTGTAGAGGTAAAATGCTAGGGAGTTGTAATTCTCCAGACTGTTGTCCGCAAACATTTTTTTATATTGGAATAAACAAAGCTATTTCTTTTTCTTTTTGTAACGTTCCATTTTTTGCATCTCTTTGTAACCCCTTTCTGAATGTCTTTATGAAGATTTCAAGACATATTCTTTTGGGTGAAAATTCATACTCATTTTGTGTCTGCAGCATTCCTGAATGCACAATTCTTTGTAAGCACCTTCCCCTAATATGTATCTTCCTGTGTGCTATTTTCTGTAAAGTATGCATTTTCTTCAGAATATGTTTGTAATGGATACATTTCAACACATGTTTTGATGGAAGAACTGCATTGTAAAAGATGAAGAAAATGAATGATAATCATGCTCTGTTTTGAGGTTTTTTTCCCCTCAGAGATGCAAATTTGCTTAGTTCTTATTAGTATCACCAAAATGAAGATTTCTACCATCCTTATAGTTAGTTGTCATTCTGGCATAAACCTTTGGGGATTAAATTGTCAACTGCTTTTGAAACATGCCAGATTAGTATCTTAGGTATTGGAAACAAATGTTTGATTGTTAGTGACAATAACCGATGAACACTGTAATTGGTTTTTAATTATCATAAAACCATGGAGAGTTTTAACAATGCTCCACATTACCTTGGAGGTGTCTGCGGACAATGCCAGCTCTTCGGCTTAGAAATGGAGATGAGTATCACTCCCCAGAGTGAGATGCAACTAGACTTAATGTCAAGGGGAAACCTTTACCTTTACTTATGGAGAGGTGAGGAGAGCCATTTTGGATCAGATTGTTTAGGAATTCAGTCCAAGGAAGTCTTTAGTATAAAGGTGAGGAACCTGTTTCAGGCTGAGATTAGATTCTCAAAGACTGCATTCCTGTGATGCTTGTGGCCAAATGCAAAAGGATAGAACAAAAAATACCAACATATTTTGACTTATATGGTTTTAATTGCAGTAAGTAGGCCTTCAGAGGGGCATTTTACACTGTTAGGATGGAACAAATTTGCTGTTAACTGTCATTCAGTCACCTTTGACTTCTAGCAAATGTATGAATGTGAGACCTCCAAGTCATCCTATCATCAACAGCCCTGCTCAGGTCTTTCAGACTCAGAGCAACTGTGACGTCCTTGGTCAAGTCTATGTACCTGGAATGCAAATATTCAATACAAAGGGAAACCATCAGATGCTGGCATTGTGGGGAGAGGAAAGTGGTTTTCTGAAGACTCCAAAAGAGCCAGATCTGGACCCAGGTTTCCTCACTTCTGTCTTAGTATCTTCTGGAAATAGTTAAATTCAGTGTGGTGTTCTCTCCGCAGGACTGCCCACGCCAAAGCCAAGTCGGAGGGTGCCGAACAAGCAGCATTGGCAGCTAATAGCGAATCCACTTTAGCCAGGTCGATGGCCAGGGAACTATCTCCAGACTTCTACCAACCAGGTAGGAAATTCGAGCTTTTCGCTAAGATTAGATGAAGCAAGGGGAAAGAGGGAAGAAAGAGAGCATTAATGTGTTTTTTAAAATTCCCTTTTCTGCCTTTGTGGGAAAATGCTGCATGAAAACCAAAGCATTTCCCAAGTGGATACATGGAAAGGATCACCCTGCACCATACTCACAAACATACCAACAGGACGAGTGGATAAATAATTATTATTAACATAAGGTTGAGGAACCTTTGGCTCTCCAGAGATTTGGGGCTCCAGTTCCCATAATCTCTTATCATTTATCATACTGACTTTGGCTTCTGAGAATTGAAGTCCAAGACATTTTAAAAGTCAAAGGACTGCAAATATGATATGTATAGCCAAATTAAAAATATTACTTGCCAGTGTAGCAATCATGTCATATGTACATATGCTGCTATAGTAGCATTAATAGACTTTCCATTTTAGAAGAATGAGACATTATATCTGTTTTATTTCTGGATGTGTCCTTTCTCACAGCTGAAAGCTAAAAGCTTTCACATTGCTTAAGTTGTATGTAACTAGATACTTCCAAGCTCTAACCTGGAGCGCTCATTGTCAAAGACATTCTAGTGTTGGGTGTCTAGTAAAGCAGTGACCTTTATATGTCATGTCATCCAGGGGTGCTCAACCATGACCCTCCAAGTATTTTCAGGTTGCAATTTTCACAAATTGTGGGAGTAATAAGCAAAACAACAACAAAAGCCTAAAACAGAATAAACAACCCCTATAACTCAATCTTCTAATATCATATTGAATGCTGTAGCAGGAGATACTGAGGCTGCTCAATATTTGGCTGGACTGACCGACCCTTACTATCAGGTTCTGGGCCCAGTTGCAGTTTGATGGAAGGGAGAGTGGCCTGGAGACTCTACAACAGCTACAGTGAAACAGCCTAGTATTGCAGGGTTTGGAATGATGCAGTTAAAGTAATGTTTTCATTTCAAGCAAGCTAGCCCTAAATAATTTCCCCCTTACCTTGAAGAGGGATCAGGCCCTGAAATCTAGGAGCAATAGTAAGAAACCTACCCATCTGTTCCATCATTCCTATAAGTATCAAATTCTTCCGAACATGCAGCCTAAATATTCTTGCTGTCTTCTGGGCTCAGTATTTCTCTATTCTGTACAAAGCAGACAGGAACAGTCTATTTCTATCTGCCTTGAAGCAACTTCATGTACAAAAGAAAGTAGTTATCAAGTTTTGTTTCAATGTCAGTGTTTGCTCCACTGTGTAGCAACTGCTGCTTTCACTGATACCAAATCATACCTAACAGCCCACAATATCTTTACTAGATTTAATTAATAGACTTATCAACTCTGTACTAAATATAGGCATGCAATTAAAGGTGGGGAAAATGCGTGATCCAGTCAGAATTTCATGCAGAATTCCATCATGGTGGTAGTAAAGATGCTTAAAACTCATCATTATCATCATCATTCCACTTTCCCCTCTCAAAGGAGATTCACAGCTGCTAAATGGGGGTGGGCATTTAAAGCAACAATAAAATTCCCCTCCCATTGGCATCAGCAAAGCCCCCCCCCCCCAACCTCCAATGCAGATGGGGTGTTAGAAATTTGAAATAACAACTGAGTCCAAGCTCAGGCATCTCTGTTGGGGTTGCATGCATTTACTAACATGTAAGACATGAGATGGTGTGGTGGCTTAAACCACTGAGCTGCTGAACTTGCTGACCTAAAGGTCGGCAGTTCAAATCGGGGGAGTGGGGTGAGCTCCCAATATTAGCCCCAGCTTCTGCCAACCTAGAAAACATGCAAATATGAGTAGATCAATAGGTACAACTTCTGCGAGAAGGTAACATCACTCCATGCAGTCATGCCGGCCACATGACCTTGGAGGTTTTTATGGACAACGCCAGCTCTTCGGCTTAGACATGGAGATGAGCACCAACCTCCAGAGTCCGACGCAACTAGACTTAATGTTGGGAAAACTTTTACCTTTACCTTTAAGAGAGGAGGAAATGGGTTTTCTAAACTTGTATGCTATGTATACAATATGGTATATAGTTTAGCCTAAAAGTTGATTACGGTAATCAGATGGAAAATATTTATGAGAAAATGGCTCTATTTTCTTTTCAGCCTCTGAGACAGGATAATTTCATAGAAATTGGAAGAGGTGAAAAGAAAATACCTGTAGTGGTGCACAGATCTCAAGTCTATTGATTGTGTCTGAGTGGTTTATTCAGAGGAAGATGTCACAAGAGGCAAATGATTACGAATGGCCAGTCTGCTGAGTGCTATTTTGAGGAGTCTGAGCAACTGGTGAAATAGCTTCCAAATAGCAGACTTGCAGCCAGAAATAAATGGCCCTGAATGGGTCTTTTTATGATTGACAGGAGCCTTCAGGCAGGTCGGCTGGCTAAAATAAATGCTTTAGCCTTCTCCTCCTCCTGACCTCCTTTGGTATATAGATTATATAGAACACATCCAAGCCATACCATTGATTTGTCAGGAGGAAAAAATAGATTTGCAAGCTAAGATTTGCAGCCTGATCATATGCATGTTTCCATGTGAGTGTGTTCCATTCAAGTGGGTGTATGCTTAATAAAAATGAATAGGATAGGAATCCAGCTTTAAGACTGCTTCTCATATTGCTAAAATGGCAGCTGTGCACCTATGTGTAATCCTTAGTATACATCTCAGTGAAACGTGATAAATTCTTGTCTGCATTTTATTTTTGCTTTTATTTTTTTACCCCATGAGCACCCTGTTCCTAAGTTGGACCTGACTTGCCTTGGTATAGCTATGAAAGGTCTCTAACTCTCCAAATAAACCTAATGCAACCTCACTTCTTTTCATCAATATCAGAGACATTGTGGCTGACCTAAGAAGGCCTGCTACTTGAGGTGAAACATCATATAACACACTTGTACATACACCAAAGTCAAGGTGAATAATACTCCAAGCCAGTTATTTTGGCACATGAGGTTGAAACACCCATAAGTACTTCTCTCCCCTTGCCATATTCCCTACTAGTGAAAATACAACAGTAACAGATTAAACCATTAGCAAAATGTACTGCCCTTTCATGACATTCATATTCTACTGTATTTCTATGTATTGTGGTAGGGCTGGTCCTGAGAGGTTAATGAACATAGGAATATACGTTGAGAAACTCTTTTGGATCAGACCAAAGTTCCCTGTATGTCAGCATACAAAGTCAAATTTTAATCTTAATTTTGTACCCTCCAATAAATGATATTGAAAATATTAAGTTTGCATTTGACTGTTGAAAGTCTGGATAGCTCTGTTATCCACACATCCATCTTTCTAACCAGAGATGTTAGGGTTCATCACTAGGACCTGTAGCAATAAATTCCTTAGATGGAAGTGTATTTCCATTTTCTGTCTCAAATGTGCTGTTTATACCTTCACATCACCTGCTGCCTTACTGTTCACTGAATTTCATAGGGTTTCTTTTGGCAAGGAATAGTCAGAGGTGGTTTTGCCAGTTCTGTCCTGTTATTCCTCGGTAGTCCCCCATCCAAGTACTAATCAGAGCTGACCCTGCTTAGCTTTCAAGGTCAGGTGGGATCTGGTGCCTTTAAGGCAGTGGTTCCCAACCTGTGGTCCATAGACCACAAGTAGTCCACAAGAGCTAAAATATGGTCCGCAGCCTCACCGTTACTACACCATTGCAATGAGAGCGACTGGTCTTGCAAAACCCTCTTATAGTGCCAAGTCTTATTAAACATGGTTTTCTGTGGGCGAGCAGATGGTGACTACTGGATGGCATATGTTTTATATCTGAAACTAGAGCTGATGTGGTCTATCCAATGCAATTTCCTGAATCAGCACCCCAAATAACCAAACCAAATCTGAAGTTGACCAAAAACTGATTCATTATCCTTTTGGTACTAATGTTGGAGAGTGGTCCCTAGTCAAAGTGGTCTCTGGTCAAAAAAAGGTTGGGAACCACTGCCTTAGGATATTTGGGGCAGAGGTCTGTGCATAATAACTTTGCTTATCCTTGTTTCCTTGTGGAGGAACTTTCAGACATGCGATCTGATCAAGCCATTGATACACCTGGAACTTGGGGTGGTAAAATCCAATAAACATTTCAGCCATTAATTTTCTTAACTGGACCTATTTGCACTTAGTGGCCTCTCCTCACACCCCACAGTCTATGCCAGATATATCTGTCTGCCAGAAGTTATTCCGCTCAGCTTCAGCAGAATCTTTCAGGATTACAGGCCATGTCACATGGCCGAGATTCACAGCCTCTAAAGTGCTTGATGGACGCTGGCCTTTTTCATTCCTGGAGCATCTGGAGGAGAGCTTATTAGTTTCTCAAATTCATTCATTAGTTAAAATTATCCTTGCAGATTAGTCAGTGGAAACAGCTTGGCATAGTCAGTATAGCAAACCCTAGCCAATCCCCCAGGCATAAAGAGGTGTGACTTTTTATTCCCAGATGTACTGCATGTTGCTCCTTTGAATTTTAAATGTTTGAATTTGTTATTATTGGATACAGATTTGCAAATGTTCTCTCAAATGTGCTTTTGGAGGCAGAATACAATTACACTACCTGCAGCTGTCATTAAAAGTAAATGCAAACGCAGCATGGATTTGATCAATGTTCTTCTGAGTCTTTCAGTCAAAATGATTACAAGGATTTCAGTATATGCGTAACTACTTCCATGAACACCAGGCATTTTTCTAGAAATACAAGACCGAGCAATTTGGTTTGATCCACCTGGAGTTGCTTTATCTTGCTGTGTGTTTTCTGGTCATTTGCATAATCACTACTTTGTTTTGGTCTCCCACATTTGTAATAAAGTACTGCCCTCCCCCACCACATTTTCAGGATATAGCAGCAATACTTCCTGGTTCTTCCCACTGTCAACCCACTTACTCACTGTCCTGCAAGAAGCGCAAGAAGGGAATGTAGTACATTGAGACCAATGAAACTTAGTTCCAAGTAGACTCATATTAGATTTTTGCCTCTTGGAAAGAAAAGATATTTTTCCATCTCAATGCAGGAATTCTTTGCCAGTCCTCCGCTTTGGTTTGTGTGTTGCTTTTCCACCCCCAACTCCCCCACCCCCACACATAATCCTAATTCAATTCCAAATTCAAGGTACTCCTGAATGTAAAAAATCACTGTCTAAGACTGATCTTTGCACGCCATGCTTCTTGATTCTTAGTTAGGATGTAAAGGACAGCTGCTATATGTATCATATATAAGTCAACAATAGGAATGGAGTCCAAATTATGAATTTTGGTATAATTTGTGGATAAGTGAAAGGTCACATCATCTCATATATTCAGGGGAGGCAGTAGCCCCTGGTCACCACCTGCTTAAGCATTGAAAAATGCCAGAAAGAGCTCCACACCAAAGAGAGTAGAAGGGTCCGGGCTTCTTTTTGGTTCCACTGAAGTCAGAGAAGAAGAAGTCTCCTTTTAAAAATGAGAGTAAAATAGTTGGATTGATCCATGGAAAAGTCGATCCAGGTTCTTCAGACTGACTTTTTGATTAAAATTTCTAGGCTTATATATGAGTGTATAGGGTATTCAGCAACACACAAAATATTCCACATATTTTGTGCAGTGAACCAACCTGGACACAGCATATTATCTGAGAACACAGAAATGCTGGACCACTCTAAGAACTACCAAGTCAAACTACACAGAGAAGCCATTGAAATCCACAAGCATGTGGACAATTTCAACAGAAAAGAGGAAACTATGAAAACTCAACTGACCTCACAACCTCTGAGGATGCCTGCCATAGATGTGGGCAAAATGTCAGGAGAGAATACTTTTGAAACATGGCCATACAGTCCAGAAAATTCTCAGTAATCCAATGATTCTGGCCTTGAAGGCCTTTGACAACACATTATTCCACATATGTTTAATTGCACTCCAGTGATTTTTCTATCCTGTGCTCACTACGCTTGCTCTGAATCAGTATCTTCTAACTAGAATTAAGACATCATTCTTTATTCACCTCTTCCTTCTCAAGGAAACAGTTTGTGTTTTTTGAAGAGTGAGTGGGGCAAAATGGGGGAGAGAGATGCGGATCAATGACAAAAAACCTAATTCAACAGCTTGCTAAATCCCAAGGTGTTGCACAGCCTTTTCCAACCTGGCAGTTTCCAGATGCATTGTGCTATAATATTCACTCTTCCCAGCCACCAGTAAAATTGTCAAAGTTGTAATTTTAAAAAATCGAAGTAGCCAGAGGGAGGCTGCTGCAGAAAGAATATTTTTGAGGAGAAGTAATTAAATGCATGACAGTGACACCCACTGATGTCATTCTTTATAAATTCCATGGATTCTTTAAAAAGTGACAGTTTAATTGGCAAATTACATTAGTTCAACATAAACACACACACACATATCTGCACATTCTATAGGTTCCAGTACTTCAAAATGTCTTTGATTAGCTTTAGAATCCATGGTAATTTGAGCCGTGGCCGGTTATACTGCTACCTTTAAGGTTGGGTTGCTGACCAGAAGGTTACAGGTTCGAATCCATGAAACAGAGAGAGCTCCCATCTGTCAGCTCTAGCTTGCGGGGACATGAGAGAAGTCTTCTAGCAGGACGGTAATACATCTGGGAGTCCCCTGGGCAATGCCTCTGTAGACGGCCAATTCTCTTACACCAGAAGCAACTTGCAGTATGTTTTCAAGTCGCTTCTGACATGATTAAAAAGAATCTGTGTTAATTTGGCAATTTGCCAATTCTCAACAATCTTAACCATTCATTTTGCCATCATTGATGATTCAATCTGTTTCCAGGCTTGAACAATCTTCTTGATGCTGTCGTCTTGTAACAAAGAAATGATCCATATTTACTCCCCAGTTCTTTATCACTGTTGTTTTTTTGTACAGTCACTTCCGACTCTTTGTGACCTCATGGACCAGCCCACACCAGAGCTCCCTGTCAGCCATCACCACCCCCAGCTCCTTCAGAGTCAAGCCAGTCACTTCCATCCATTCATCTTGCCCTTGGCCGGCCCCTCTTCCTTTTTCCTTCCATTTTCCCCAGCATCATTGTCTTCTCTAAGCTTTCCTGTCTTCTCATTATATGGTCAAAGTACTTCATCTTTGACTCTAATATCCTTCCCTCCAATGAGCAGTCGGGCTTTATTTCCTGAAGTATGGACTGGTTGGATCTTCTTGCGGTCCAAGGCACTCTCAGAATTTTCCTTCAACACCACAGTTCAAAAGCATCCATCTTCCTTCGCTTTAACTATGCGGATCTTCGTTGCCAGTGTGATGTCTCTATTCTTCACGATTGTATCGAGATTGGTCATTGCTCTCCTCCCAAGAAGGAAGCGTCTTCTGATTTCCTGGCTGCAGTCTGCGTCTGCAGTAATCTCTGCACCTAAAAAACAAAGTCTGTCACTGCCTCCACCTTTTCTCCCTCTATTTGACAGTTATCAATCAGTCTGGTTGCCAGAATCTTGGTTTTTTTATGTTTAACTGCAACCCAGCTTTTGCACTTTTTTCTTTCACATTGATTAGAAGGCTCCTCAGCTCCTCCTCGCTTTCGGCCATCAAAGTGGTATCATCTGCATATCTAAGGTTGTTAATGTTTCTTCCAGCAATTTTAACCCCAGCCTTTGTCACTAGTGCCCAGCAAAAACATTTCTGGTAACATTACAAAATCTATCTTTAAAAAATTGGATTAAAACAGAAACTTTTTGCCTGCTTCCTATAACTGCCATGTATTCATTGTAGTTTGTGCAGGCTTCGAAACTCATATTTTCTCAGTACAGAATTTTGGATTACCTGGACACAGAATATTATTTTATTACACATTTGACTTTTAAATCCATAATTTTAGTAAAAAGTTAAACTTATATTTCACTATAATTCAGAAAATATACCTGAACATGAACTAGACACTTCCTGCCTCTTCTCTTTTGTCCACAAATCTCTAATACGCAATTCAGACTGGTTACCTAGATTTTGAATGAGCTAGAAAGCAAAAAGGGACCTGCTGCCTAATTTGTCCTCCCCACTGGACTAGCATGTAAACAATAATGTAGACCCAAGCAGGGGTGCTAGGCAACGATGACACAACCCAGTTAGATGAGTGAAACCTGAATCTAGAAGTCACCTTCTTTAAAGAAGATAGGTCAACCGTTCCATTGCTTTTCATAAGATCTTAGTTTCCCAGGTGGTGACCTTATTAGTGTATTCGGCACACATATGACAGCTCTCCTTACTCCAAAGACAAATCTCAGTCCAATGTGTATTCTACCGCTCACCACCAAAAACTGTTGCATTAAAAAGAACAAAAATTCCTACACTTCAAAATATAGAAAACAAATCTGCAGCAACTGACAAGAGACATTGAGATGAGTGGGAATCACATGGATCACTTATTAAATTATACACGTTCATTTATCTCTACTGGGTGTCCAAAGGCCAAGACTGAGTATTATTCTGATATATGAGACAAACAGTCCCACATGATCTACAAAGTCTGTCTATTATCACTGCAATAAAAATGAAATAGTAATAACTAACACTGTTGCTGTGTCTTGGCACACATACACTCACATTCACACCCAACCTGTTGCATCACTCTCCCAAAATTGTAGGGCTGGCCCTGATAAAATCTAGGACAAACAGTGTAGAATGATGTTGAATTGGCACATGGCTTTCTTCAGACTGCTTAATTAACTCAAGTCTAAGTAATCTTTTTGTAAATGATATTTACATGTGGCCAGGATTACAATTTGCTTGCTGTGCTTTCACTGACTGTTGGATTTCTCAGAAGGATTGTACTGCAGTGAGTTCCAGTTCTAGTGGCTTGTGTTTCCCTTGGCATAAAGTGTAGAGAGGTGTGTAATGGAAGAAGGTGACCATGGGGCCTCATCACACTAGAGAATGAATCCACTTAAAATCCAGTTTCTGCCTCCTGCAGAATTCTGGGGTATATAGTTTAGGGATGAGCCTTTAAGTGCCTCACTAAACTACAAACCCCAGAATCCTGCAGGAGGCAGAAACCAGATTTAAAGTGGATTCATTCTGTAGTGTGATGAAGTAACCAAAACGAAAGGAATGGAAGAAATGGGTATGGGGCACACCTCTATTATACAACCATGTGTCTGCTGTTTTCCATATATTGTAATGTATTCTGGCTTTTTTATGATACATGAATGGCCTCCACCTTTATGTTTTCTAATATCACTGAAATTTTGTGTTGATCGGTTGCATGTTGCCATTATTCACAAGCTCTTGTCTTTCCTAGGTCCTGAATACTTGAAGAGGAGGCTGTTCCAGGAACTCATGGAGAATGAAGAGAATTTGGAAGAAGAGGCCCCGCCTATGGAAGAACCACATCCACCGGCATCTCCACAAGGTCCTCAGGTTGATAAGCAAGATTCCACCAAATCCAAGGAGAGTACAGCTCGAACTCCTTCACCACCTGCAACACCACCTCAGGCTAAGCGTGTTAAACAAGGTTCCCAGAAAGAGAGTTTTGTTAGTCCTGGGAGCTGGAATGGAGATCACGGTAAGGAAGGAAGTCACAAAGGAAGTAGGCCCAACACTCCTTCTAATGCTCTGTCAGCACCAGTGGAGAAGTCAGCAAGTGACCTCAGGCTTGCTTCCCAAAGTCCCAGCCGACATGGCCACACAAAGTCTCCTGCTGAGCAAATGGAGATCAAACCTCTTCAGAGGATACATCAAGGAGGTGAGGTTGAATTAATTAAGGGTTATCACAGTTACGCTGTGAGAACCTCCCCCGTTACTCCCCCAATAGACTATGAGGAAGAATCATTCCCTGACTCCAAATTGCCAGTCGAGCCAGTTTCCCCAGAGCCAAAGGCTGATGTGAAGGCCATTGAACAGAAAATGGAGCCACAAAAGAGGGAAGATACCCCTGTCTCTCATCATGAACCAGCTCACGAAGAGAAAAAAGCACACAAAGTAGAACCCAAGCATGAACCCAGGCAGCTTCCTCCACCTGAGCACAAAGTAGAAGAGAAAGCGGACGCTGCAACTGAAGGAAAACATGAGCAAAAAACTGAAACTAAAGTGGTGGCTAAAGTTGAGCCTAAAGCTGTGATGAAAAAAGTTCCTCCACCAGAACCAGCAGCAAAAGAGGTGGAAGAACATGAAGAGGTGATGTTGTGTGGCCAGCATAGCAAGGGGAGGAAGGGCAGGGGTCTTTCTTTGTCTATTTTAAAGAAGGAGCTTGGTGGGAAGATGAAAGAGGAAGGCAGTATATCAGTCTAAATCAGTGGTTATCAACCTGGGGTCCCCAGATGTTTTTGGCCTACAACTCCCAGAAATCCCAGCCAGTTTACCAGCTGTTAGGATTTCTGGGAGTTGAAGGCCAAAACATCTGGGGACCCCAGGTTGATAACCACTGGTCTAAATAGTCATCTTCTTAATGTTTCATTTATTTTTCCTGCAGCCACTTCAATGAGGTTTTTTTCATGTGAGAAATAGGGCAAGACAAGCTGCTTTATACCATCAATATTTCTTTATAGTATAGCATTATGTTTAAAGCTAAATCTAGTTTTTGAGTGTATTGCCTGCACAGCTAGAATGATTAGTCTACAGTCAAATGTCTTGTGGGAGTTTATGGTGCAGTTGCATTTGGAAAACTGAGTAGTTCTGATTGCACATCATTGTCAGGCAAATAATGTAGAAAAGTGTGACCAGATTAATTAAAGAAAACATTAAGCCTTTTATAGTATTTTTTTGTTCAGAAGATGGCCATCCTTTAGTTAGGATTGCAAGGCTGAATTACTTCAGACAAAATGTTTGAAAGAGATAAGATAATCATTGGATACTTGATATGATTCTACTTTGGAATGGCCATGTTCAGGTGAAGTTGGTGTGCCAGTGAGTATCTGTTTCTAGAGTGTAACTGGATGGAAAGGCTATTTCTATTATGCCCTGGTACTAGGTTTTATGGGAAGGACCTTTTCAACCAGTGTGTATAAAATCATTATAATGAGTCTCTGTACTCTGTTCACCCAAAGTTACATATCTTTTGTAGAGAGAATTACATGTGGGAGGAGGTCTACATTGGCCCTATTTTTTTTAACTCTGATCAGTTGGAGTCCAATGCCACTATTATAGCAATATTTGCTGAAATATCCAGAATCCAATTTAGTTAGGCTTCTTGGGAAAAGTTTCACAGAGCATTTGAAGGACCATATTTCCCAGACTTCTTTCTCTGTTCCACCATCTTCTTAAGCTTATTGATGGAAACAAGGGAGAAGGCCTCCTCCATGCCTCCTCCCAGACATTTGACTTTGTTTGGTTTTTAATTTTTATTGCTTTTTAAAAATATGTTGCTAGTTCCATTATTGGGAGAAAGACTAGATAGATATAAATGCATAGATACTAATAATAAATAATTGTTGCAACTTGGTGACATGGACAATACATCTGAATTGGTCCATTCCGTTAAATGTCAACCCAATCTTTGCCCATCCTGGCAGAGCTGGATTTATATGATGGGTCCAGAGGATGGCGAATGGCCTCATTATATCAGGGAATGGCACCTGTAGCATTGGAAGGAATCAGTGGTGCCCTTTTTAAAATAAATGTTTAGTTTAGGGACTTATTGATTTTGATGAACCAGACCTTTGAAAAAATGTGTGTTTTTGCTTGAAATCACAAGAAATAGAATTTTAAGTGTGGGTGTATTTTCCCCCCTTAGGGACCTAACACCATCATTATCTTCATGGTTATCTTATTGAACGTTGGCCTGTCCATCTTGTTTGTGCATTTTTTGACATGATGAGATGCTAAGAGAAGGTAAGGTTGATGGATCACATTCTGACTTGTAATACTTTACTGTTCTGACATTTTGGAAAATGAAAAATGGCTCAGTTGAGCTTTTTATAAATTGACATTATTGTGATCCAGTTACACATCAGTACACAATAGCTATTTCCTGGTTTAAATTTTAGTAAACAAGCATTTTTCAGTTGTCAAATCCCAAATGCCAGAAGAACAGTGGAACACCAGTTGTTAATCTTCCTGAATGGAACAGTGAAGCCTTCGTCCTAATACAGTCTGCCTCCTTCCCCTAGCCTGCACACACGGGCCTATCCCAAATGTGGGAAGGGGTTATCATATTAAGGTAAAACTCCCAGAATTCCCCATTCATACTGCTTGAGCAGTTCTCAAATTTGTAGTACATAAGTAAACTTTCCAAGCTCTGACACTGATATCACTCTACTGCATATTATGCATTTTGTTTTTGAGTACCGTCAAGTTGTTTCAGATTCTAAGAAGAATCTATAATGGGGTTTTCTTGTAACACTTGTTCCTCTGAGGACCCTTCCACACAGCCATACAACCCAGTATATCAAGGCAGAAAATCCCACAATATAAGCTTTGAAGTGGGTTAAAGGAATGCTAGTAATTCAATACAAAAGTAGGAAGGAAGTAGTTCTTTGGCAGAGAAATGGAGCAACAGCACCCCATGTGACCAGAACCAAGCACAACACCTTCTAAGATGCCAAAAGATGGGGAAAGCCAATATATATATACCTTTTATCTATGTATAATTGTTTGTCTACTTGTGTATAAAATGGTATTGAATGTTTGCCGCATATGTATGTTTTGTGATCTGCCCTGAGTCCCCTTTTGGGTGAGAAGGGCAGAAAAGAAATACAGAAAATAAATAAAATACATTGTCTGAATTCACACTGTCATTTTCAGTTCAAAGCAGAAAATGTGGGATTTTATTCAGCTGTGTGGAAGGGGCCTTAGACTCAAGGTAATCCAGTGGGCTTTCATGGTGGGGCAAAGATTCAAACCCTTGCCTCTCTAGAGTCCACCATTAAAACCCCTGAACCATACTGGCTCTAGAAAAACATTGTCACATTATGGCTGTTATTAATACAACATCTCCCTATTTTTCCTTTTTCCTTTTATCTTCATAGAAGTTTATGCTGATAGACCTTACCAGGGAGATAATAACATCTAATGAAAACCATCAGAAAAGGACTTGACTTCGAAGAACCCAGTGGTTTCCCCAGTCATGGGTGATCTCGTCTGTCTACATGAGAAAGTCTGGAGTTTTGCAGCACCTCCTCTTTCCCCCAGTTTTTGTGAACAGGAATTGCCTTAAAGTTTCATAACTTTGGAGAATAAAGTACTGCTGTTTGAAGAAACAAGAACCCACCGATAATTGTACAAACTCTAATGAATGCCCCAGGCTTTTATGGGAGACTCATTTTTATCGAAATTGTGAAAGAACACTACAATTCTAAATCTTAACAACCATCAAGAATAATGGTTATAGCTGTGGGTTTAACTTCCTCATCTAAGCCAAGGTTATGATGAATCAAATGTTAGGAACAGTCAGGATGTTTCACCTGCAGTTAGATTATTGTAGTTAGAAGTTCAAGCTCTAAAGCAGGCAGCACTTCATATCCCATTCTAGAATGTAAGTAAATCTACAGAAGGGCAGGGGGAAAGATGACCCCCCCATATCCTTCTATCATGGATTGTATTGTTAGGGTTCTTAAATGTGGTCTGATAAGTATTCCCCAGAGGTGGATCTTTTGCAATACTGTCCAGGAGAGTAAATATATCTTTTCCAAGGACTTTCCCCCTAAGTGGTTGTATTGGGGCCTGCATATGTATCAGGCAATGAAGTTTGTACTTGTTTCATAGCTAAGCAGTGTTTTGGAGACAGTGCCTTGTTGCAGATATCTGCAGACATTACAACCCCAAAGCCAGACTCACAGTAAGATCCACTTCATGCCTTATGCTTTTTTTCCTGAGCATTGTGAAGCACAGAGGATTTGTTGTGAGCGCAGAACCTTAGAAATCTAATACATCAGCCCTGAATGTGTTTGGATATCTTTCTCATTTCCTTTTTGAACAAGCTATGGACTTCTGAGACAATGTCAAAAAGTTTTTTAAGTGCCTTATTTAAAAGCAACTGTGAAGTTTAATGTATACTAACACTCCCCATTAGTTGCTAGTTAAAAATGAAAAGCTGAAAGGTAGAAAATTAGTTGGTTTAAACACCAGACTCCAGATGTAAATGCCAAAAGACTTCCAAAAGTGGTGCCCCAGATACAAAGTAGGTAAACTCAAGAGTAGTGTTTTTGGATCAGATTATCTACAACACAAGAATTATTGAATAAATTTTAGAAAACAGGAGGGATGCTATTTTGTGCCTTTCTACTACCTTTTTATTTGAAAACAATTATAATCAATTTGTGTTGTAAAGTGGAGAGGGAGGACTATGTGACTTTTGCCCAGAAACCCTGTGTTGGAATAGTCCTCTAGGAAAAAAAATGTACTATTTGCAGAATACCTACAACACATGGGGTGATAGCAATGGTTTGGGGGGTTATTTTTATATTTCTCCTGTTCTGGGTATATGTGTAACACCCTGACTGTTACTTGCTTATGAAACTCATTTGTCTTCTTGGTTCTCTGCCTGCCAGGTACACAATGCAATTGCTTTATTAACTGTGTATGTAATTTGCTTTTCTTTGAGAGACCTAAGTGGCCTTTATTTAACTTGAAGCACATTCTGGAATGCGATCAGAAAGTCCATCTCCCACCCCCAATCTTCATTCATACAAATTGGATGTGCCCTCCTTGTTGTGCTTTGCTTCTTGCAATGTGATGGGAAAAGTAGTAGATGTGCTTCATATGCTATCTATAAATACATAGACCAGCATGTAGAGGGCTCAAAAGTGTGCCCAAAGACTTACATGTAGCCAGAGCAATTTTTTTTGTGAGGAAATATATTTTCAAACCTGTCAGAAGACAAACTGTTTTTGAAATGTGCCACTTTCAAATGCAGCTTGTTATTTAAGTATGTGGACAGTAACTGTGATTCAAACAAATCAAAACCCTCATTTAGCATGAACAGTTTGGACAATTCTTTGGATCTTAACTGTATGTATTGTATGTATATATATAATATATATATTTATGTATGTCACTCTGTCTTCAAAAAAGGGAGAGAGAAAGAGAGCAACTCTTAAGGCTTGTGCATGCATTTGGTCACTATGGCATGCCGTAACTCCCATGTTTACATATAGGTAGCCCACAAGCCTACCTCCAGGAAGTAACTAAAAGGGTTTTAGTTAAGCAGGAGCAGATCATATCGTATGTGCAGCTCCCAAGCATTTTTGTATTCCCTGCCCTTTATTTTTAGAAACCTAAGAACCTCAGACTTCCTTGCTTTTTTTTTGAAAAAAGTAATGATTTAACCCTCATTCTTTCAAAGATGAGTTTGAATATGGCAACAAAATGCACAAACAAAATGCCTCACATCCAGAGTTCCATATAAGCTCCTGTACACTCAAGAAACTTCTGTGTGAGAGAGTTTTTCCATTCACTTCAGTTGAAGGGACACCTCTATACATGCCTTTGTGATCTGTCCCCTCCTTCAATGTAAATGGAAGCGGTCTTGCAGGTGGAGGAGCTTCATATGTGCTTGGTTGCATGTGATGAGCATCCTTTATACAGAATTTCAAAATATAGTTAGTCATGCACATTCACAAGACCACGGTGATAGTAAATAAAATAAAATAAGGAAATTGCTATATATTTTTTTACATGAGAGAGCATCTCTCTAGGAATTTATAGATCTCTTTGCCCCAATGGTATGGTGGTCAGCTTTCTCTGGAAGGTGACCACAGAGTTGCCCTGGAGGACCTAGAGTTTTCCAGAGAGAACATTTTAAATCAAATCCATGAATAATCAAACCCACAAAAGTCAAACATGAAGGGACAACTATTCTCCAAAATCCATAGTTCTCTACACAAGAAGCTAAGGCACCTTTGCTTTCAGATGGTTCAATACACAAAGTTATTACAAATATTGTTTAAAATTACCTTCCAACTACAATATATGTATAAAGTAAAATGTAAGTGGATTCCATACTTAGATTTAGGTCCAATCTCAATGATATCCCATTATGTATGTATATGCAAATACAGGTTGTCCAAAATCTGTAATCAAAATAAATGTTGGCCCCAAGCATTTTGGATAAGAGATGCTCAGCCTTCGCCTGTGTTCCCAGGAAGCCAGTGAGTCAGGTGCAAATGTGTGCACAAGCCTTGTGGGATTTTGGTTCCTAAGTTGAGCAGGGACAGGTTTACCTCAACTTTGCATGCCTTCAAAATAGTATTTTGTTGTTAATTTTTATCCAGGTCTTACAAAATTACAAATGCATCACCACCAGCAACACACTTTAATGGCAAGTTTTAAAAAATAAAATGTGTATGACATTTTACGTAATATTCTCCAGGAATGTCCACCAGTTTTTCTGCTGGATTATGTGCAATAATAAAAGCTTATTTTACCCACCTTACCAGTTGTGAATTTTTAAGAAGAAAATTGGGGGGGGGGGGGGGGGGGGGGGGGGGGGGGGAGTGATAACTTCACAAGATGGTGAAATTTCCAAGTTGTAAATCACCAGAACACGTAAACTGTTCGAAATCTCACAGAGTTAAGTGGAGCAATTTAAGTATATGATGAAATATTTCCCATCAGAATCATTGCACTTTATGTTTAACTTTGATTAGATTTTATTTGAAGAAGTTTTGCATGGCAGGATGCTAGACAAATGCTAATTACAGCACACTTTAACAATATATAAAAAATCAACATTGTAACCAGAGCCTGGGAAAGTTAGTGTTATTTTATTAGACTAAAGTTCCCAGAACCCTCCAACTAGAGTTGCCACTGAAGGATTCAGAGTGTTTTCCAAAAAAGGCAATTTTTCCAAGCTTTGGCTTTTCATACCTTATCATGTCTCCAGATTTCAGAAGTTGGAAATGTGCATATTGGGTGGGGGTGAGGGGTGGGGCAGGATTAGTATACTAGTTGCAGATGCCACTTTGCTTAAACCCTTTGCGCTATATTGAATGAGTGTTTAGTTTACTGTTTTTGTTACAGAACATTCAAAGCAGTCTTTCTAATAGTAGATTGCAAATAGTCTCACACAGGCAATTACGGTTCTTTCCTCTCTACTTGTAGGCCAATCACCTACACTATATTTAATACACTGGTTGGATCATTGTATTTATCCATGTTGTAAGCCACTCCGAGTCCCTTCCGGGAGATGGTGTGGGGTATAAATAAAGATGACGACGACGATGACGACGACGATGTTGATGACAATTAAGGAACTACCTTCTATTTGTAGTTGGGTCCATTTTGTGTAAGGTTCCTCCATCCACTTTTTAGGGCATCCTTCCACATTCATCACCCCTTTCCCTCAATTTCTCTGATTTTCAGAATGGAGAAGGTATAGCTTCTCACATACCTATATTTGAATTTAGAATAGAATAGATAACTATTGTCATTGTACAATGTACAATGAAATTAAATACTTTCCCCAGCACACATCACAAACAACACACTTGTCTCTCCACACTCACACCTCATCACACAGCCCCCAATGCCACATCAATGCAAAGCCATTGAATTCAATATAGCTACAGCTCTAGAAAAAAACCATCTCTCAGTCTGTTTGTCCTTGGCTTTGTCACCCTGTACCATCTGCCAGATGGTAATAATTCAAAAAAAGAGTATGCTGGATGAGGTGGATCCTTAAGAATGTTCTGAGCTTTCTTAAGGCTGCAGGACGTATAAATTAGAGCTGGGCGGTTTCGTTTCGTTAATTCGTAATTCGTTAAAAATTCGTTATTTTTTTATAACGAAGCGATAACGAACCATTCTGGAGCAACTTAAAAACGAAACGAATTTTTAAATTCGTTTCGTAAATGCTTCGGATTCGTTATGTATTCGTTTCGTTATCGGTTTGAGGTCGTTTCGTTATTATTTCCGCATGTCTGGGGCAAGTTTTATAGTTGTTTTTTGTTTAATTAGTGAAAAAAAATTATAATATCACACCAACAGTCAACAACAGAGGGAGAGGGAAGCTTCAGAAGTTCCCCCTGTCCCATTTGGAGGTTTTTTAGCGTATTGCACGGTCGCGTCCGCCATTAACGAATCGATTCGTTATTGTTTCGTATTTGTTTCGTTAATGTTTTCGTAATTTTTTTTACATTTACGAAATTTCGTAAATATCGAACTTTTTAAAAGAAAAATTTTGGAATTCTTTTAAATATCGAAACGCAAAACCCCCCAAAAAAACGAATCGATTTTAGAAACAAATTTTTCCGTTGTTACCCAGGCCTAGTATAAATGTCTTCCAAAGAGGGGAGAGGGCACTCAGTGATTCTCTGTGCTGTAGTAGGGATCCTTTGGCATGTCTTCCTATATGTCACTGTGCAGTTACCAAATCATATGCAGATGCAGTAGGTTAGGAAACTCTCTCTAGCACAGCAGTAGAAAGTCACTGACAGTTTTGCATTCAGTTGTTGGTTCTTCAAGTGTCTCAGGTAGTACAATCTCTGCTGGCCTCTCTTCACCAATGCTGCTGTATGAACGCCCCAGGTCAGATCTTCCTTCACAGTGACACCCAGGAACGTAAAACTGGCCACCTGCCCCACTTGATCTCCATTTATGACCAAGGGCTGAATTTCTGGTCTATTCTTTCTGTAGTCCACTATGAGCTCCTTGGTCTTATTGATGTTAAGAACCAGATTATTGTCCCTGCACCACAAGAGCAATCGACCCATCTCATTCCAATAGGAAGACTTGTCCCCTTCAGAGATAACCCCTACCATTTAACCTGTGGAATGAAATAAAGGATCACTTACCATACTTATGTACAAATCAACCTCAAATATAAGTCAACGGCAGGTTCTGGGGCTAAAATAATGTTATATGACCCATTGATATGTCGAGGGTAATTCTGCAGAGAATGGGAGGCATCCTGGCCAGCAGCACCATTTCACCACCCAGTCATTTGAGAGCCAGAAGCAGCACCACAGTGGAGAGAGAAGATGGAGTTGGTGTTTCTTTTTGGTTCTTCTTCAACAGACTAAGCTTTTGTCTTTCACTACTCTACTCAGAAAAGGGGATGGCTCCTTCTTTGATAAGAGGAAATGTATAGTACTTACATTGAATAATGGATAAGTTGACCCAGATTTTTCTGGGTTGATCTTTTAACTAAAATGTCTTGATTTAAGCATAGGGTACTCTTTTTTAGCTTTCACCAAACTGTATCTAGGTTATCATGTATGAATGAAACAGGTTTATTCTCCTCGCAATCCTCTCCGGTCTCCTTTTCCCATTCTCCATGCATAGATATTTTAAAACCTGTTACCTACCCTGATGAAGTTGCTCAGCAGGAGGAGAATGTGAGTACATTACACTTGGAGGCATGTGGAACAGGTGCTGTAACAGACACAGTTTGTAGTTTTATTTTTCTCTAAGCAGTTTGACAGTTCAGTGCTATGGAAATGCTTCAGATCTCTGTTTAGGCACTCTTTTTCAACCCCCCCCCCCTCTCAAAAAGTTGATAAAGAATGCTTAGAGCAATGCTATGTGTTGGAGTCCTTTTAAGATCAAAGGTGCTTTGTTTACATAGTTGCCACTCAAGGCTATCATGAGAACGGCTGTTCCTCAGTTGAGCAGTTGTAAAATCATAAAGAGAATGGGGAGGCTGCCAGTTTCTATATATGATTTGGTATTAGTGTTCTCTAAGTTAGATATCCCATCTTCTTTTTTGCCCAGGAATGAAATTTTGCTGTATAATCCATTTATGGCCAGAAAGCCCATAGCATGATGCCATTGCTCAAGCTTGTAGTTCCTTAAAGCTCGCAGCTTTTCTTTCGTTTGCCATCTCAATTTTTAAAACTTATTTCTGTCTTTCTGTCCTCAAAATGAAGCCACTGGTTAATTTTGGTAAAGTTTTTAATATTTCAAAAAGAAATGGAAACAGAATGGTCTCTAATTTTTGCTGGTTAAATCATACTAGTATAGCTTTTTCCAGGAGCGCCCTGGTGGCGCAGTGGGTTAAACCACTGAGCTGCTGAACTTGCTGACCAAAAGGTTGGAAGTTAAAATCCAGGGAGAGGGATGAGCTCCCACTGTTAGGCCCAGCTTCTGCCAACCTAGCAGTTTGAAAACATTCAAATGTGAGTAGATCAATAGGTACCACTTTGATGGGAAGGTAATGGTGCTCCATGCAGTCATGCTGGCCACATGACCTAGGAGGTGCCTACAGACAACACCACCTCTTCAGCTTCAAAATGGAGATGAGCACCAACCACCACAGTTGGACATGACTAGATTTAATGTTAGGGGAAACTTTTACCTTTACCTTTTGCTTCTTCCATAAAGAGGACCATGCACTTATTTACCTCTGTTTGAGCACCAGTGGTATAAAAGTTATTGTAAGACTGTGATTGGCCAGGGTTTGAATTCCCTTTCAGCTATGGAAATTCACAGAGTAACTTTGAGCAAGTCATCCTTTCTCAGATTCAAATGAAGATCAGCTCTGAATAAATCTTGTCGAGAAAATCCTAGGAAATGTTCATCAACCTAAGTCTGAAACGACTTGAAAGCACACAACAACAACAATCATATCTCATCAGCCAAAAGCAGGCCCACACTTCTCATTGAAATACTAATAAGTTTATATTTGTTAAAATTGTTCTTAATTTTAATTATTGTATTGTTTTAAAGTGGTTTTTACATTACAAATAAGATATGTGCAGTGTACATGGAAATTCATTCATGCTTTTTTCAAATTATAGTCCGGCCCTCCAATAGTTTGAGGGACTGTGACCTGGCCCTCTGTTTAAAAAGTTTGAGGACCCCTGCACTAAATGCACTAAATCATTTTCAGTTTCTCTTGTGTTTGAATTTTTAAAAGATCAAGTTATTTTTATATTAGTGCAAAGACAAAGCAATGTTATTCTGAAATGTCAGCTATTTTGTAATACCTTAGAGACTAATTTTTCATAGATGATTCCAATGTGTACATCTAAGGCCCCTTCTACACTGCAATATAAAATCTAGGTTATCTGCTTTGGTCTGGATTATTTGGCAGTGTAGACTCATATAATCCAGTTCAAAGAAGATAATGTGGGTTATCTGCTTTGATAATTTAGATTATATGGCATTGTAGAAGGGGCTTTAGTTTATGAATTCTTATGCTACCAATTTCATTTTAGTCTCTAAAGTGCTACAAGATCCATTTGACACTTTTCATATCAAATATGAAAAAATGGACCATGATCTTATAGAATGAATTAAAGTTACATTATTATCTAGTTCATAGTTTCTTAGAGGAAGAATGGGTCTAAAGCAGAGGTAGGTGGATCTGTGGCCTATGAGCTGCATGGATTCCATCAGATCTATTAATGCAGGCCTTCAGGCGCTTGGAGACCCCTGGCTAGGACCACTGTTGCTAGCTATGCTTTTTCACAGTTGTGTTATCTTTTCCCGCCA